TTAATAGAAATTATAGAGCTATGTGAGTACTACAACTTTGCTTTAATGATCATGGTCTAATTTGAACTGGTTTTCAAACTATATTGATCCAAAGTAAGGTACTTTGAAATTGAAAACAGTTTCAACACTTAGAAAATTTCTTAAGTCACAAAATATTATTTTGTTGATACTTGTGAGCTCTATTTGATCATGTTAGACACTGAATTAGCTCATGACTCTTAAATAAAGTTTGTTTTCCATAACAAGAACTACAACTTTTATTCAGGTCACACAACCATGCAAATACTCTAAGCTATTGTTCAATTTTGGTCAAACTAGTACCATGAAAAAGGCATTTCAAATAAAACCAACACTTAGAAGCAAATTTGGTCTATGTCATGAATATAAACATTGTTCCATTTATCATTCTAGATGTGTCTAAGGTGTTTTCATGACCTCACAATCATCTCATACATTAGTCATACATGATTGCAAGCATAAGCATATATATAAAATCAACATTTCATGTGGTAAGGTATAAGAATAAGATGAAATTTCTTATGCTCATGTTCATGAATGCTTGGATGATGCTTGTGCTCATGAAATGCAGGTGCCAAATACAAAGCTTAACACTGGGGTGTTACACTCACCAAGCCGCTCGGCCGTCTTCGGTTCACGGAGCTCAAGAAGATGATCGGCATGGTGGTGGTTCTATGGTTAGTAGCAGGATTAGGGGAAGAATTGTAAAGTGAGTTAAATGCATGAGAGGTCCTTGAACTTGTGAGTGGGTGTCACTTAGGTCCATGAACTTGTAAAATGTATTTCTGGATCCATAAACTTGATAAGTGGTGCATCGTAGGTCCAAATTGAACACGTGGGCATTTCATCCAACGTGGCATTGCCACTGTGGCGGTGACAGTGTCTAACGCTTTTTCCTCATCTTTTTTTATTTTTTTATTGAGCTCGTGGAGCTGGACCTGAGTGGCAACAGGCTCGCCGGGCGGCTGCCAGCCTCCCTTGGCGCAATGCCACGGCCCACGGCGGGCCTGCTTTCGTGTCCGTGTGGCGGCGGCGGCAGTACACTACTAGAAAACAGACCTTTCACCCACTTCGATTTTAGCCTTTAATCTCGATATTTTTTGCGTTCGGGGCTAAAGGACTTTTAGTCCCGGTTCGTAATACCAACTGGGACTAAAAGTCATCTTTAGTCCCGGTTGGTGTCACCAACCCGAAGTAAAAGTTCACCAACTTTTAGTCCCGGTTGATAACACCAACCGGGACTAAAGGGTGACCTTTTAGTCCCGGTTGGTGTCTTCAACTGGGACTAAAGGTCTTTTACTCGGGACTAAAGGTCTTTCACGAGTCTATTCAAAAGAAGAGCGCACATGACTCTGTCACAAGTGGTGTGCAGTTGAGTTGGTAATGTACTTACGCGCGAGGAGAGAGGTATTGGGTTCAAATCTCATGTAGAGCAAGCGAGGCCTCGAGGATTTCCTTTATTTTTTTCTTCCGTGGGTGACCTTTAGTCCGGGTTCCGGTTCCCAGACCCGCCTTTAGTCCCGGGAATTTAGTCCCGGTTGGGAAAACCGGGACTAAAGGGCCTTCCCAACCGGGACTAAAACCCGTTTCTCTAGTAGTGGTACTTGCTCGCACGCCCGCATGGCCACAAACAGCGGCGGCTTCGTTCGTGAGCACCTGCGTCGGTCTGTGTCCACGCACGCTACACCGAGTTCCATTGTCAACGCCGACGGGAGGAACGCACGGAAGTCGCGGCCTGTCGGAAGAGCAGGCACAGGAGGGCGAAGTCGGCCGGCTAACCACGCTCGCCAATCAGCGGCTGATCGACGAACGCCCATGCCATCTACCGTCAGGCCGTCACCACGACGCCGGAGTACGTCGAGCTACATGCATGCAGGTGCACGTGTGCTTGCAGATACGTGCTCACGTGCAAGCTAACAAGCCAGGAGGCAGCCACATCTCTGCACACGACGCCAACGTGGAGGAGATCGACGGCACAACGGCACGGATAGTGGCGGCTCCCTGCTCATCTGTTCTTCAGATAGCTCTCTTCTTTCTCTCACCGAACGGGAGCAGGCGCCGCCGTCTCCGTTCTTCGCGCGAGCGCCGCGTGACCCGACGACGTGCTCGTCAACTCGTTCCGTGACCTAGAGCCGAGGGTGAGTGAACACACACCATGTCCGTTGATCTTTCTCAACTCAAAGCTGGAGAAACAGAGGACATGCGATCGACAAGCAAATCTTTCGGCTGGTTGAGCAGGAGGCGTCCAGGCACCCGAACATGACCGCCTCGGCCTCCGCCATGTTGAGCCTGGGTGGCCGCGCCTGGACGCCCGGGGGCAGGTACGTCTCGTCTCCCAGCGCGCCACGGCGGGGCCGGACAGGAAGGGCTCACCGGCGGGGACCTCGGGTTCGCGCTGGACCTGGTGAGGAAGGCCAAGTCGGCGGTCACGTACGACTACCTGCTGTCGGTGGCGGACCTGATGGTGCTCACGGGTCGGCCGCTGTTCGCGCTGTCCAGGACGTACATCGTGTCGGACGTCAGCCACGCCGGGTTCCTCACCAGGTCCAGCGCGAGGTCTGTAGTTTGCAAACCGAACCGAATAATCCCAAAGTCATGTAAACAAACTTGTAGATCGCTTCTAGCTCTACAATTTTTGTTACTACACCTTTCGCTGGATCGGGCTGGTCTGAGAGTTTGAGGGAGCCGAAGATTGAGTTTCAGCTTGTATATTTGAGGTGGTATTGATCAGTTCATTCAGTTCGGAAATTTTGAACGTGGCCGACTGTTCAGAAGCTTGCTGCCGCGTGGCCTCACGCGCTCGGCCGGACGGGAAGGGCTCACCGGCGTCGAGGGTGGCGTCACGCTGCTCCAGCGCATGGGCGTGGGCATGGTGCTCTCCGTCGTGGCCATGCGGTGCCGATGCCTGCAGCCTCACCGATCGACAGCCCCCGCGTTCGCCGAGGTGGAGGTGCTGGGCCACCTCCGGCACCGCTTGATGGGTTCTGCAGAGGGGGCCGTAGGAGAGAGGTGCCGGTGGTGATGGAGGTTGCCGACCAGGCCGCGAGAGGAGGCGACAACAACAATAGTGGTGCTAGAGGCTACCGGGGTGACGGCCTGAGTTTCAGAGAAGAAAGAAGAGGGGAGAAAAAAGAATAAGAAAGGTGAGGGGGTAAATAAAAAGTGTTAGACACTGTCACTACTACAGTGGCACTGCCACGTTGGATGAAATGTCCACGTGTCCGATATGGACCTACGGTGCACCACTTATCAAGTTTATGAATCCAGAAATGCATTTTGCAAGTTCATGGACCTAAGTGACACCCGTTGATAAGTTCATGGACCTCTCATACATTCAACTCTTGTAAAGTAATCTGCTGCTCTCCCATCGTCTGGACGCGCGGCAGGGGCAGGCGCCGAAAGAGCTCCCTGCTACTGCACTGTAGCCGCGACAGGGGCGGACGGCGAAAGGCTCCCCTGCCGCACTGTAGCCACAGCAAGGGCAGGCGCCAAAGTCTACCCTGCTGTCACATCTAGTTACTATAGCAGCATGACAGTCTAGCATGTTTGTGTATTAGGATTAGATGGGTAGAATTGTACATATATCTTGCCACTACAATTCAGTAAAGAGAGCAAGTTCAGTTTTGCCATCTTCTCTGCAGAGCTCCGATCAACGTAGTGTGTGTGGTCGGCAACGACGGTGAACGGTCGACTCACCCGTGCGAGAGATCTCGGGACCAACACACACAACTCTCCGTCTAGCGTTGCCAAGCAGGTCTATTGCCTAGCCTAGAGCCTAGATGGCCCATGCCGAGTCATCCGCAACAAATAGCCGGTGGAGTAAATTGAGCAGAAGGCAAACGTTCGTCAAGCTGAGGTCCTTGACCCCGAGACCGCCATTCTCCCTAGATCAGCAAACTTTCTCCCACGCAACCAGGCTTTGAGCTCCGGATGGAGCATCATATCGTTGCCACACCAGAGAAAGGATCCGCGACGCTTGTCCATCAGCGCAATGACCCCGCGCGGGAGTTGCAGGGCGCACATTGCATACATAAGCTGGGAATCAAGAACTGAGTTAATCAGAACCGTTCTTCCCATTGCATTAAGCAGGCTGGCTTGCCATCCCGCCAGGTAGCGATCAGTTTTGTCAATGCATGGCATGGCGAGAAGGCTCGAGCTTGTGCACAGAAAGAGGTAACCCCAGGTACGTCTGTGGGAAGCTTTCGCGTCTGCAACCTAAAATGGAGATGCATTGTGCTGCCTTGGCTTCATTCATATGAATTGGAACTGCCGTGGTCTTGTTGTAATTGATTGTCAGTCCCGTAGCAGCAGCAAAATTGTACAGGATTACCTTGAGGCATTGCACATCTTCTGGATCACCACGGAGCACAACAATGCAAGTGTGTCGTCCGCATACTGAACAACGGGGCATGGAACTCCGTCAGCCAAAGGATGTCTCACAGAGTCGGTACTTCCTTGGATCAGCCGTTGTAATACATCTGCAACGATTAAGAATAGGAACGGCCACAGTGGGTCACCCTGACGCAGCCCGCGCCTACAGGTAATCCACGGACCAGGACAGCCGTTGACAAGAATAGCTGAGCGAGTTGAACTGAGCAGGTGTAGAACCCAATCTCGCCACTTGGAGCTAAAACCTCTTGCCTGCAGAACCCGAAGAAGTCCATCCCAGTGAACGGTGTCCAAGGCCTTGGCAAAATCAATCTTTACAGCAATAGATGGCATCTTCCGCTTATGATAATGCTGAGACAATTCTGCCGCATGAATAAAACTTTCTGCGATTGAGCGCCCCCGCATGGCCGCATGTGACAGGTTTTAGAAAAATGATTGTTTTTCTTAGTCCGGTGAAGTTGCTCCAAGGGTTTTGGTCATTTACATCCTCCACTAGTGGGTATCATATCACCTATACTACGTATTTACATCCTCCGGTAATAGGTATCGTAATTAATAGGGAAGAAAAATGTCATTTACATCCTAATACTCTGTCACATGTGCTCAGCTCCAACGTTCTTATATTTGTATCTCCACGCAAAAAACAAATAGGCGAAGAACTGGAGCGCGCTGAGCGCGGCGAGCAGCCAGTAGAAGTAGTCGAGGTGGGCGTGGTTCAAATTATCTGAGAACCAGCTCTGGCCCCTCGCCGCCGTCGCCCGGTGGATGCCTGACACGAGCGCGCTGCTGACGAAGCTTCCGATGCCAAAGATGCTGATGTAGAGCGCCAGGCCAATGCTGCGCAGCCTGTCAGGCACCTGGTCGTAGAAGAACTCCTGCAGGCCGACCATGGCGAACACGTCGGCGGAGCCGAACACGACGTACTGCGGCACCATCCACCACAGGCTCATCGGCAGATGGACCTTGGGCTTGTCGGTCAGCCCGGTGTCACGCGCGACCCGGAGCCGGCGCTCCTCGACGAGCGCCGCGATCACCGTGGACACGATGGAGAGGAACATTCCCGCTCCGATGCGCTGCAGCATGGTGATCCCCGACGGCCGGCCCGTGTACCGGCGCGACAGCGGGACGACCACGCGGTCGTAGACCGGGACGAGCACCATGATGGTGATGCTGATGAAGGCTAGCAACGCCGCCGCCGGCACCTTCACCAGCTCGCCGACGCGTCGATCCAGGGTCGCCGCCTGCTTCGTGAAGAACGTCATGGACTGCGAGTACACCACGGCGTATACCAGCGTCATCGCCCATATCGGGAACAGACGGAGGACGTCCTTGGCTTCGCTGACCACGACGGCTGTGTTCGTCGTTGTCGTCGTCGCTGCCACCTGCGCCTCCTCATCGCTGCTGCTGCTGCACACATCGGCGTTCAGTAAAAGGGCGCATCAGTGACATCCAACGTACACCGTGTGCAGGTAACTACGTACAGTACCTGATGTCCGTGCGAGCTGCAGCCCTGAGCCTTCTGTTCCGCCGGCGCCGCCGCCAGACAGCGAAAGCCTCGGCGGCGTAAGCGAACAGGCTGCGCGTCCCGCTCGTGTCGGTGTACCGGTACGTCCTCGTACCAAGCAGGAACACGACGAGGGTGCAGGACATGACGGCGCACGGGATGGCGAAGGCGAGGCCCCAGCTGAGGTTCTCCTGCACGTAGCTGACGACCAGGAGCGTGGCGGCGGTGCCGGCGCACACGCCGAAGTACCACCAGTTGAAGAAGGAGCCCCTGGAGACGGACTCGCCGGGGTCGCTCTTGCTGAACTGGTCGGCGCCGAACGCGTGCGTGCACGGCTTGTGGCCGCCCTCGCCGATGGCCACCATGTAGAGCGACACGTAGAATAGGGTCACCTGGACGGTGGGCGGCGGCGGGCACATCTCGCTGGCGGTGTTGCAGTGGTGCCCAACCAAGGTTGACACGGCCAGCAGGCCTAAACCCTGCATGCATGCATTTTCCATCCAGCAATTAAATATTAAAATCAAATGATCTTACTAATTGCAAGGACCACACATGTCCCTAGGTAGTCCGTAGTTTTTGGTTACCAGGGTGTACAGGAGCGACGCCAAGATAATGGTGAGATATCTTCCGAGCCACAGGTCGGCAATGGCGCCGCCCAGCAACGGCAGCATCAGCGCCGTGCCGCTCCACGCGTTGGTGGCCGCAGCCGCGGCGGCGATTCCCTCTTGCAGGGGTCCCGTTAGAAAGGTGATCAGATTGGCGGCAACGGCGTAGAAGGCAAAGCGTTCACCGATCTCCGCCACTGCATGCATGCACAGCACCCATGGATCGATCGGATCAGCAGCACTTCATATATGTATTCTTCCATCCGCCATGATCCATGATTCCATGGTGGCTATATATATGTACTATGATGTGATCGACGAGCTGATCGAGGAAACTTTTGACTTGCCTATTATAAAAATGGCTGATCTCCAGCTGCCGGTTCTCATCGTGAGGCATGCAATGCAGGATCCAAGTCGTCGTCGCCGGAGCAGAAGAAGAAACTCACTCGCTCGTCAGATCGATCGGAAGAGAGAGCTGGGACGGACTGTTAGAAGCTGAGCAGATCGGCAGGAGGGTTTGTCTCTTATGGTGTATCTTTAGCCAAGGGGGACCATTATTTTCGCATCATGGCTCTGGCTTCCTACAAATATGGACTGTTACATGCTTACACGTATGGATGTCTCTACTTGCATGTGATCCTCCAACGACATATCTGACCAAGTCTGAACAAATTTTATCGATCCAGCCTAGGAGGATATAACATATATATATACATAATTATATATATGCAGCTAATATATAAGTCGTTACCGATCCAACCACAAACCTTAAAATTGATGAAATCACCACGGGCATCTCATTACCGATGGGCACACGTCGGTTTAGAAAAATATGAGCACCTATATCAAGCCAAGAATTTAAACCGTGCGTACATCATCAATTAATTTGTGATTTATCTGATTCCCATACATAGGTGTACAAAGGTGTGACATCAATTATTAAGTTTGCTCCTATCAGTAAGGTAGCGAATTAGATAGTGAAATGGATGCAAGCTTTGCAAGCATGCAATGTACTTTTTAACAAGCATACACCTAAATAAATCTATAACTAAGTTATACATGATTCAATGAGTATGAAATTTTTACTACAGTTCAAGCATACAATAATTAGCACACCATAAAAATTACACCACAATTAGACCATAGAACTGTAGCTATAAATTAATTACATAAAAGCATATATCTAAAGTTACAGTAAAAATTTTGTACTAAAACATACCATATTATATATTCACTGTGTAGATCTCATGTGGAGTCCAAAAAATTGGATTTTCCATTTTATGATTTTCATATGATTTACTATGATTTTTTTAAAATTCAGCTGAAATAAATAAAAAATAAAAAGACAAAACCGTCTTTGAAAACCACTTATAACCGGTCAGGAAGGTAAAACGAACGGTTTTAAAAATTCAGGAAGGTGGTTTACCTGTTTTAGAGTTCAGGGAGGAAAAGCGGACTTTCACAAAAGTTCAGGAGGTAATGTGAACTTTTCCCAGGCTGGCCTGAGAACATTCTAGAACGGGCCCGACCATGGCCCGTGGCCCGCGTGCAACACCTGATCGAGAAGCTGTCACGTGCACAACACAGATAACGACAAGTTTCTCTTGCCAAGCAGCAATTCAGAGTTCATCCAGACGATCAGTTGGGGGTGTTTGGATAGAGGGACTAAAGTTGAGAAGGTGTCACATCGAGTATCACATCGCATGTCACATTCCATACTAATAATAAAACAAATTACATAAGCCATGACTACTTCGCGAGACGAATCTATTAAGTCTAATTAATCTATTATTTTTTTAGGGACGCTGTTTAGGATTTGCTTTTTCTTTTCTTTTTTTTTTTTTTTTGAGAAACGATGATTAGGATTTGCTGTGTGGCTGAGAGGCTGCCTCCGACTCTCCGAGGCCATGGTTGCAGCAGCGTACGGAGTACTACGGACCTGTAGCTGGACTAGTGCTAGACCACTAAGGCCTCGTTGGTTGTTTCACGGTGAAAATGGGCCCGTTTTTCTTCCTTGACCGGATCTAAGTGGTTCCTTCTGGTTCACTCAAATCTGGTTCGTCCCTATTCCGCACATACGGCGGTTTGTTTCCATTTTGGACCTAGAAGGGGGAAGATAGGCCCGGATTGACCACTTTTCATTCCGGACCGTATCTAACCGAATAACCATTTCTGATCCGACCTGACTTCGGGATGAATCGATCCAGGCGGAACAGGCCGCGTTCCGGCCGTCGAGGCCAAAACAAACGAGGCCTAAATGAGTGGACTAATAAAATATGAGCTAAACAGTAGTTTGGTCGAATTACGTTATTAGTCTTTCTCGGTAGTTCATATATCTAGACAGCATATGACTAAACTTTAATTATCTAAACTTTATTCATCTAGATTTTAATTGGACTAATAACTAGTAGTCCGGAACTCCGGATAATCCAATACCCACTACAACAAAACGGACGCACAGCAGGGTTGGTACTACATGGCTATCATCGAAACGGAATTTCTTTCGTGACACAGCGCAACGATTCTCAACCACACACGACGCAACGATTCTCGATTCAATGACGAATCGTAGTCCAACGGAGTTTCTTTCGGCCACGGACTGGCAGTGAATGATGCACGGGCGTCTCAGGCACCGATGATATAGTCCCTTCCTCCAAAAAGTGGAGCACATATCATTTTCAAAAAGTCAAATAGTTTTAAGCTTAAATAATGGCTTGTTTGTTTTCTCGTTCTAAACTTTAGTCCCTGTCACATCGGATATTTGGACACATACATTAAGTATTAAATATCGATTAATTACGAAACTAAATACACAAATACACAGATTGAGACTAATTTGCGAGACGAATTTTTTAAGTCTAATTAATCCATGATTTGACAATATGGTGCTACAGTAAATATGTGCTAACGATGGATTAATTAGGCTTAATAAATTCATCTCGCGGATTACTGAGGACTTCTGTAATGTGTTTTATTATTACTATCCGAACACTCAATGTGACACCCCATGTGACACGCTAAACTTTAGTCCCTATATTCAAACACCCCAAACTTAGAATTAGTTGACTTCATGAACAACGGTTGAATTTGGGTCTACAATTTGTGCCTAGTAGTGTACCATGAGACATTTTGAACGCGTTTGGTTGCACCAGCCCTCAGCCGGGCTCTCCGCATGCGAGAAGATACGTTTGTTTGGTTCACCTATCTCTGTCAGGCCAGGCTCTGCGAGTGCAAGGAGCCCCCCGCGCCAGCCTCTGGAGAAACATAGAAATCGGCCGTTTCTAGCGGGCCAAGCTCGTGCGGTTCGGGTAATTAGCCATCTAATGGCATTATTAATATAGTATTAGCACAATATTAAATAATATTAACATATTTTGATTAATATTAAGGAGTAATAAGATAAATTAAGAGCTATAAGATAATAGTTGTCCGTAACAAATGTCATGATGATGATTTATATATTTTTATCTCATGCAACCTGTCCTTATGCGAGCAACCAAACAGGTTCTCGGGACAGCCTGGCTCATGCAAACAGACAACCAAACGCCAAGCTCTAGCATGCATTGGGCCTGGCTACCGAGAGCCATGCTCCTCCCATGCGAGCCAGGCTGGGTTCATCCGTGAACCAATCAAGCCCTTGGATTGGTTTTTAGGGTTGGACGGAGGTTGTCCCAAGATGTAGTGGACCTCGACGAGGCTGTCGAATGCTAGTTGAATCCTCCCTTCGGCCATGGATCTAGGGCCTTAGCCATTGGATCTCGCAGCAAAGCGGCGAGGTGCATGAATAAGGTGGGAGGAGGCGCTCATGCCAGCAATGGGTGAGAAAGGGGGCAAGGGTCTTTGGCTCTCTGCCCCTAGACATGAGGTTAGCCTCGCCTATGGTAGACAACGAGAGGAAGGGAGGCTTCGACGAGGCGGGGGGTTGTAGAGGATGCAACGACGGCATGGAAAGGTCGTATTGTATTGGGTTCAAACAATAAATTTTTTAGCACTGCTAGCGCCCAGACGTCTGGATGGACGCTCGTGTCCGGATGCTAGGCCTGCTACATGCTCGCGCCGCTCTCCATGCTTCATGCTTCCCGTGCCCCTCCCCTCCCCACCGCTTCAAGCGCTTCTTTGTTGCGTCGCTCCACCCATGCCTGCTGCGATTGCGCTGCTCCCCTGCTTCCCACGCGCATGCGGGGACTGCCTGCGCCCCTGCTGCCATCTCCCTCCGCTTCCCCGGCACCCGAGCAGCGCTCCATCCCTCCGCTCCTCACGCGCACGCACAACGCCCCAACAACTGCATCGGGAGGTTGTGGCAGGTGGGGCACATTGCAACATGTGGAGCATCCCGATCTACTTTTGAAACATCCAGAAGAAATACTTGCAACATATGTCCAAAACAGCTGAAAACACTTGCAGTAGACGTCTGAAACACTTGCAAAAACACTTAAAAACACGACCTAAACGTTGAGGAACTGCAGTAGCCAGCAAGCTCGGGCCAGAGGGGACGTCGGGAACAACAGCTCAGCATTCACCCAAGCGCAGGCACACCGGCAGCGACCTCCTCCTGATGGCATCGGGGTGGTGGTGGCACGATGAACGTCATAGCCGCGACAGACGAGGTGAGATTGGGGCGTGGTGCGGCATGGGATGGAGCGCAGCGGAGGATGGCCGTGGCGACGAGGCAGAGTGGGTGCGGGCGGATGTTGCGCCATGGCCGCGGTGGACGAATTGCACGGTGGAAGCAGCCACTGTGGACGGACGGCTCGATGGAAGCGGCTGTGACGAACGAGAGTAGGACAATGTTCTGCAGGAGTTGGAAAGCCTAGAGGCCAGTACGCAAGCATAGTAAGCAAAGCGTCTGTCCACCGGACGCCCCGACCCTATCATTATCGTAAAATTTTGGGATGTGTTGATAGGTAAGAGAGGTAATTTGATATATGGGTTAGGTTAGGTTTTAACCTATTAGCAGCCCTAATGGATGCGCTGATTGGTCAGATTGGAGTGGGGTGCAGTGCCACCAATTGCCAGGCGGATCCGGATATCGTGACGAGGATCAGAGGGTGCGTGCTGCGAGGGCCCGACCAAGACGACCATGGTTCCATGATGATTGCGCCTGCATTATCGTAAAGTTTTTCTTTCTGAAGCTTTGTGTACAAGATTTTCTTTATTTTACTCAACTAATAAAAATATATAAAACTGCCAATTCAACATGGCAACATCATCCAATATCTTTCCCACCATTTATAGGCAACGTGACAGATGGCATCAACTTGATGTAAGGCCCAACATTTGGCTGAGACCTCGCCACGTTTAAATTCCATTCCATGTTTGAGAGCAATCACTCATCCAGTCCAATCCAGGGGAATGCTTATCTCATGAATTATTCTTCTGAACTATGCAGGTCCAATGGTTTTTGCAGAGAAGATGGTCTTGGCAGTGTTTGGGGTAAATTCCATTTCTTTGCCAACACATGTTCTACCTTATCTGTGTCATAAATTTTCTCTTCCAAAGATGGTCGTATCATACAGGGTAGCTTTTCTGTAACAGAATGTGTAAACAACTGACTACTTGCTTGTTTGTGACACACTGAAATGGGTAATTTTGGCAGGGTCTGATTGTGCTATGGATGACCAGGAACCTTACAGGTGACATACCAGGGTGGGGAGCTCTCTTCCACAACAATGTCGGAGATGGAACAGTCACCGTAAGTGCACCAGAAAAAAAAAACTATCCAGCTACTCACAAGTCACTCGCAATTCAGATCATGATGGCTACGCTGCTCTTCATAATTCCAAGCCGTAAGAACAAGGGCGAGAAACTGATGGACTGGAACAAGTGTAGGAAGCTCCAGTGGGACATTATCCTCCTCCTGGGGGCAGTGTTCGCCATTGCCGAAGGCTTCAGGTCAAGCGGCCTGACTGATATCCTCTCCGACGGGCTCCGGTTCCTGAAGGGTGCAGAGACGGCGGTCATTGTACCTGTGGCCTGCATCGTCAGTGGTGTCATCACGGAGTTCACGTCTGACGATGCGACCACAACGCTGGTGCTCCCTCTGTTCGCTGAATTAGCGAAGGCGATCAATGTGCACCCAGCGTTGCTTATGGTTTTTGGAGCAGTTGGGGCTCAGCTTTCGTACTTGTTACCTACTGGATCGCCGTCAAACGTAATTGGGTTCAGTACTGGCCACATTACCATCAAGGATCTTGTGATCACAGGACTGCCCCTGAAAGTTGTCGGAATCGCAGCGCTGACAATCTTGATGCCAACTCTAGGTAACAGCTGCACAAATCACGACTAAGAGCTAGTCAGTAAATTCAGAACTGGTTTCTTGTTCTGATACTCTTCTTTCTTGAATGATTATATGCAGGATCACAAGTTTTTAGCACAGACATCAAGTTCTAGGAGTGGAATGCAAATTTTGGACCGTTCATTCCTCCAATCCAGTTGTATATCTGTACAGTACTTTCCTTCTCTCGTATCTATGCCCTAGGCAAGGCTATGTTGTTATACTCTTTGATCTGTACAACGTTAAACAGTGAGATTTGTATGCAATCTCTGTGTGAAAAATAGCTATAGAAATGCACCTTGAGAGCTGAGAGCAATTTAAAATTCAAGATGAACTTGTCAGCCCATCCTAACATGGAAGCTCAATCCTATTCCAAAACTTCAGCACACAAAGGACAATGGATTTAAAAGGGAGGGATTTTCAGATCAAATGTTGGAAATGTCAATATCCTACTAGTTCTTCTTTACACGATATATATGAGTAAATACTTTGTAAAGCTTGCGGGTTTCACACTTTTGTAGCAGCTCCAGGGATATGTAAGTCCTGTCTTAAGCTGAAATTTCTGTATTCTGAAACGTGACTCATGGTGACTGCTGTTGACCTATCAAATCCAGTAGACCATCCTACCGAGATTGTGTTGACATTTGCGGAGATTTTAGTTCTCTCGCCATAAAATTCACCAACACACAAGATGTCCCAAACATCCCATTCATACGTGTTCTTCAGGCTTCAGCCGTGCAAGCAAATGAAAATTGTTTCTCTTCCCTTTTCTGAAGCAAAAGCAAGCAGCAGAAAACTCTATGCAACTTGAGTAAAAATACACTGAGGAGCAGTGGAGTTGGCACTAACACACGAACTGGAGGTGACTCACCGCCGGCCCGCCGGGGCTACTAGTTGAACGACCAATGCGGCGGCTCGGAGATAGAGAATTAGAGATGGCCGGCCGGCACCGTGGCTTGACTCGCACCCTTGACCAGGTCAGGTACGCCCGCCGCGCTGCAACTGCTGCCTTGCATAGCTCGCCAATTGCGAGCACCATCCCGCCTCGATCGTCAAGCGGATGCCAGCGATCCCATCCCACCCACAACGTGACGATTCCACCGGCGGGCGGCGGCCGCCTCGGCGAGATCGGCGACGACTCCCTCGCTTTGCAGTTGCAGGGGAGAAGAAGACGAGGCGTGAGGGTCAGGGACAGAGCATCTGAGCCGTCCACAGAACAACAACCCGAGATGCCAACCGTCCGATCCGACCAACCAAGCACACCGGCTACTTTCCCCGCCGCGACCTCTGCCCAGTGAGAGGCCCACGCGGCGACGCCCCCTCGATCTGCGCGAGAGCCCCAGCGGCTCGCCGGTCGCCGGCGATGATGGTGGGCCCAGGCCGAGCTCATGGCCACAGAAACCGCCTCCGCCGCCTCATCCCGCGGCTCCTCCTCCTCGTCTTCGCAGTCTACGCCGCCTCCTTCGCGATCTACCTCCTCCAGTCCCAGTCCCACCACGAGTCGCCGCCCGACCCCACCCCGAGGACTGAAGCCCGTGACGGCGTCGGGACGCCGCCGTCCTCGCAAAAGCCGTGGCCGCGCCTCCCCTCCTTCCTACCCTGGGTGTCCAGCCGAGCGCCGCCGCCGCACACCTGCGAGGCCTACTTCGGCAACGGCTTCTCCCGCCGTGTGGACGTCCTCCCCGCGGGCCGCGGGGGCGGCGGCGGCTGGTTCCGGTGCCACCACAGCGAGACGCTGGGAAGCTCGATCTGCGAGGGCGCCAGGGTGCGGCTTGACCCGGCGCTCATCGCGATGTCCCGCGGCGGGGAGCCGCTGGAGCAAGTGATGGGCCGCGCCGAGGAGGAGGAACTGCCCAAGTACGAGCCCGGCGCGCTGCAGGTTGAGGGGCCGGCGGCGGGTAGGACGGCGCCCCTGGTGGACGCGGGGTTCCTCAACGACTACGTGCCCACCGGCGGGACCGGGATGCACACTATGAGGGCGCTGCTCGAGTCGGCGCGCGTTGTGCCTCCCGGTGAGCTGCACTGCTCCCAGGTATTCTTTGCCTTGCTATCTACTAGTAGTAGTTGATTTGCTCATTGATGACAAGTAGTTTGTTAATTAATTTCTGAAATCCAATAATTAGGAAGAGTAGAGTCAGCTCAGTTTTTGATATAGGAGTATTTAATGAAAGTCTGTTTGATCCAGCCCTCATGCTGGATATACTGAGCAGTCGTATAAATATTTATTTGTGTAAAGAAGACGAGGAGCAGAAATAGGATCTTCGAATGAAGTCTGCATCCAATTTATATCCAAAATAGAACATCATGGGAGTATAGCACTAGTATATAGATTCTGCTTTTGGTTATTTGGTTTAGTTTGAATTTGTTCAATTAATGCTGTGCAGTTTTCTGATGATTCTATCATATAACTTATGCTTATTATTTCAGTTGCTTTGGAATGAGTTGATTGCAATGTAGCAGTTTCATAATATAATAGATAGATTTCAGTTACTTTGGAATGTGAGTTGATTGCAATGTAGCAGTTTCATAATATAATAGATAGATATATTCTAACTATCATTGAACAAAATGAGTGGCCTTGATTATACCTTTTGGACACTCAAAAGAGTAGCTTTGTTAGGCTCTTATTGGATTAGAGTTTTTTTTTATTCAATTTTGAATCGATGTTTTCTTCTAACATTCCTTTATCACTGGAATTCAGTAGTCCCTTCTTAACTGTATTATCACACTTGTTATTGCAGTGGGTTGAAGAACCGACACTTTTGGTCACTCGTTTTGAATATGCGAACCTTTTCCACACAATTACGGACTGGTACAGTGCATATGTTAGTTCCAGAGTCACAAATTTACCAAACCGTCCTAATGTTATATTCGTGGATGGGCATTGCAAGGTATGTGATGCACTGTGTATTTTGTTATTGGTTCAGTTCATTCTGTTTGTTGCTTGAGTTATGACCAACAAGTCTGTTTCTTCAGCTACTACTGTGGTAAACAACATTAGTCACATTTTTGTATGCTTGATCTTGGTTTGTATCGTGCAATGATAACACACCATGCTGATCTTCCTGTTTTTTCCTCATTTATTCTGCCATGTCTGTTGCTCATGTCTGGAGAACAATTGCAATCAGAGGCAGTTCTCGATTGTATCCCAATCTGTCAGTTTCTTTGTTCTACATTTTAGGCAAATATCACCCATGCTATATTTTTGGTAGCTTGCCCTGATGCCGCATCCAAAACTTTCGCCAGTCGTACCCATGCCTCCATGTATGCCTAGCTTCCAGATTTATATTGTTCCTCAATTATGTCATTTTCTTTCAGATTTAGCATGACTTAATATGACATTCTATTGCTAGGTAGCAACCAACTTATTTGTCTACACAATGATTTATGTTTCTTTTCCCTCTCTTGTGTATTCTTGTCAAGTGACAGATGTGACCTGATTTCCACAGGCACAATTGGAGGAAACATGGGAAGCACTTTTCTCAAGTGTGGCATATGCTAAGAACTTCTCTGGTCCTGTTTGTTTCCGACATGCCATTCTTTCACCATTGGGCTATGAGACTGCCATGTTTAAGGGCCTTAGCGAGAGCTTCAGCTGTGAAGGTGCCTCCGCAGAGTCCCTCCGAGAAAAACCAGACTATGAGAAAACTGCACGGTTATCTGAATTCGGGGAAATGATTGTAGCTTCTTTTGGTCTTCTGCAGGATGACATCATGTCATCCAAAAAATCAAATGGACTCAATGTTCTCTTTGTTCGGCGAGAAGACTACCTGGCCCACCCACGCCACAGTGGTAAGGTTGAATCGAGACTAAGCAATGAGCGGGAGGTGTATGATGCAATTGACAAGTGGGCACAAGGCCTGAAATGCAAAGTGAATGTCGTGAATGGTCTTTTTGCCCACATGAGCATGAAGGAGCAACTCCGTGCTATCCTGGAAGCTTCAGTGGTAATAGGTGCTCATGGGGCCGGTCTAACACACTTAGTTTCAGCAACTCCTGATACAAAGGTTCTTGAGATTATCAGCAGCATGTACCGGCGCCCACATTTTGCACTGATCTCACACTGGAAGTCTTTAGAGTACCATGCCATAAATCTCCCTGGGTCATATGCAAGGATCACAGATGTCATCAGTGAGTTGAAAAAAATACTGGAAGGTCTCGGATGCTGACACCACAAGCCATGCAGAATGGATAACGTGTCTACTTCATCATACATACCTGGTTACATTAACTTCAGCGATGCATATGAGTTTTAATTCGAGGGGAGTGTTTCACAGATTATTTCGACCACTGTGCCAATAACCGAATCATTCCCAGTTCCCAGCCAAGAATTTTATTATGCTGCCAAATGCAGAAAGCCAAGAAAGCAATCCGCTCTCTGGTTTCTGACAGCAAATGTTAACACGTAATCCAACCTTAGGTTGTCCACTCTATTCTTGGACATGATTCTAGGACCACAATCTTGACCAAACTGTATTCTTTTCTGGTTTATAGATTAGCATATCTTTTGTATGTTACGTGTTGAGTACTTTCGCATTGTTCAGCTGTTGAGAACTGCCTGATAGAAATAGGTTCTTCCTTTGTGCATGCTGTATGATTTACTCAGTTTTGTGAACCCACGGAAGCGAGGTCGCCAAGTCCAAGGGCAGCAACATTATGCCGCCGGCCTGATCATTCTGTAACATGAATGAAATAGTAGTGGAGGGGGAAAATGAAATGAAATGCCGCGTGCACTTTGCACTAGCGTACTATGCATCTTTTGTCTCCTATATATGAGTATTACCGTACGTAGCCATAATAACTATGTTTCTTTTGTCTCTTATACATGGGAAGTAATGAAGTATTACCGTAGCCATATAACACTTTGACGTGCAACAGATCAAACTTCGTACATATGGCAATGATGCGAAAGGGAGAAAACAAACTGTCATCAGTCTCTCAACACAACAGGGTGCGAACACTTCGACGTGTTACAGTTATAGATCAAACTTTGTACATATGGCTCGCCTACTGCGCTGAATAATTGTGCTTCCAGCTAAGCACACACATCACAACAACGCCTATGATGCGAAAGGAAGAAAACAAATTGTCATCTGCCTCTATAAAGAGAGGCATCAGAGGGCGTGAACTTCGATGTGCTATAGATCAATATTTGTATATATGGCTCACCGAGTGGCTACTGCGCTGAGTCATTCCGCTTCCAGCTAAGCGCACACATCACAACAGGTTTATGTTGCGAAAGTAGGAAAGCAATTTGTCATCAGTCTATGAACAGAGGCATCAGAAGTCTATTTACTTTGACCTTTTCCTACCAAAACTTGAACGGCAAAGGTAACCTAATGCTTTTTCCGTTTCCTCGAACTCGATTCTGGTTCCATCTCATTCTGAATATCCTGCGCAATAAAGTTTTCTATAAGTACATTGTTCTCAGAAGTTAACATTATTCTCAAAAGTGATAGCACATCACGATTTAACTTTATTGCAGACACAACTTCATCTATGGATGGACGCTCATTAGGGTCCCCTCTGATGCATCTATCTGAGAGAAGAGTTCTAGCGCACTTTGTCGGGCTCCACCGATCCTTTTCTCTTAGCACTAGTTGTCTCAGGATGTTTCCAAAACAGAAAACATCGAACTTCTCCTTCGCATCCTCTGTTGTTGCATAATCCATTTATTATTAATGATAAAACGATTTGGGCAAACTGAAGGTAAAAAGAAAAGAAAAGAATGTACTTGGAGATAGGCGTACGTGGAAGCATGGGTAATCAAACTAGCGTGGCGGGGTACGGTGCCAAATGGTCATAGAAAACCATCCTGAGGTGGTTTGTATACGTTTATGTAGACTTAGTTGTGCTGCCTAATGCAGGCAAATACTAGTGCAAGTAACCAAAGGAATAGGACTATACTATTTTGGGATAACTGGAAGGAAAAAAAACTACTACGCCAAGAAAGATCAACAACCTGTCTGGTAAATTAGCTAAAGATTCTAGACCCTGCATTCTTCTAAACCATCTTATCTTCATGATTAAATGAAAGCTTTTCAGGGTATTAAAAGTTTTTTTAAAAAAAAAAATGCATCCAGCTTACCAGTATCATCGGGATTGAAGACACCATGCCTTCTATCATTAAAGAACTTCATTTTCTCATTCCTTTTCGTTGCCAGACCAAAATCTGCAATTTGTACAGTACCATCCTAAAATTGAAGATGAATTGCGAGATAACACAAACATTCCATTGGCCCCTTAGGCAGAATATATAGCACATACATACACATGGTCAGAGATACTAACTCCTAACTAATGCCTAATCAACAGGAACTATCCTAAAGAATTTTTTTGCGAAACAACTATCCTAAAGAATTGGTACAACAGAAGACCAGAAATGCAGTTAAAGGCAAGTGACTGACTATATGCTAACAGAAATTAATACAATTTGTTACTCAAAGGAAAACACATGTGGTTGTTTAATATATTTATTATAAAAGAAAGATTCATAAATACAAATTGAAGTACCAACCTTCATTAGAAGTATATTCCTCGGCTGAATATCCCAGTGGATGAATTTTGCCGAGTGTATTGCTCTTAATCCACGTGCAAGCCCAAGAAGGAGGTTATCTAGTTCAACTTTATTGGGAGCTGTTCAAATAAAAAATATCAATATAGTCAATATAAAAAAATGGTTAGGCTCTCAATGAAAAAAGATAGATTGAAAACAGATTTACAAAACATAAGATATACATAAAAGAAGTTTACGTTTGTATCCTTCCAGATCTTGTTGAACTCTTTCATAAACCAATGCAAAGTATTCATCAGCATATGCATAGCCCCCCAATTTTATGACATTTTGATGTGAAATTCTGCTCAGTGCACTGATCTCTTGCTGCAATGAAAAATATGGCACAATTCATTGTTAATACTTTATCAAGTGAAAAAATTGAATCGAGGTTGTCCCCATTTTCATTACCACCAACAGAAATATAATTAGAAAAACAGATATAGAGATGATGGGGAACAACACAAAACGAGAGAAAAAATACCACCACTTCCCTACAGTAATCACACCTAAGATGTTTCATGACCAACACAAAATCAAGTTTCTTATTATCAAATATGATGCTCCAGTATCAGTTTCCAGAATCTATCTACTTGTTTATTTTGTTCAAGAAACTGAGTTTAATACTAAGATGTTGCAAGTGTAATACATTAACACATGACATCACAGGGCCTTGAGTCCGGCAATTGATAACATGTAAACTAGCATATATCAACTTATTACTTCCATGCAGAAAAAAATATCTATGATCAGCTGATGAATCACTACACCCCTTCATATCAAGATGATATTTAGATGTTTACACAATATGTTCGAACACCACTTTCAAAGTTTATCTTCCATAATCTAATATGGCTATCCATTTTCAGATTAATTAGTGTTATAATGTAAACATTAACTAGGTTTATTATTAACTCCAACATTCGATGCATATAGCCATTCTTTCCTTTGAAATTTTTACTGCAACTTTCATTGGGCAGTTTGGAAACTTGCCCTCTTTAATTCTTTCCTTAGACCTGTCAAAAGGCTCTTTCTTCTCCGATGGCTCTTTTTTCTAAAAACCTTTGTTGAACTCGCTAATCTCTTCATGGTTCAAAACAATTAACTCTCCCATCTTAAATCAAAAGCAAACAAGCACATATAAGTTCGAGGTAGGTCAAAGGAACACAAAATAAGCCATGTCATACTCCTAATTTACTATAATGTAACATGAAGTATTGAGAAATACAAGAAAGAACTTACCCCAACCTAATTTGTTCTAAGCCTTGCTCCTAGGGAGAGTGTTTAAGCTGAAAGTATATGTAATTAAGTACCTGCTACCCGTTTCTCCTAACGACGTTTAAGTTTTTTTTCCTGTTAGCGCTATTACTCCACTCTCATGCTATTCTGCCATTATACCATTACCTTGCTATAGATTTGACGGACACGTGCTCAATTTCACACCGGGAAAGATTGGTCTAGTGGTGATCATGATCAAAAGGTGTTTGACACAATGTCTGCCAGCGCATTACGTGCTAATAGGTTTGAGAAAGCGTTTGGTTATGGGCCAGCTTCATTTCATAATTGCAGCATGCTATCAAATACCAGGGCCGTATAGGCTGCAGAATCTAGATGACCACTGCATAGTACTCACTGATGGCACCAATCTCATAGTACCTATAGCCTGGGCACTGCTTGTATGAATGGATGTTCATGGAGTATGATCATTTTTGCCTATTGCTCGATATAACTGATGATGTTCACTGTTATCTATTCTACAACAAATTATGAGAATTTTGAGTTAGTGACTATTATAGAAAGGATGTTCATGGAGTATGATCATTTTTGTCTATTGCTCGATATAACTGATGATGTTCACTGTTATCTATTCTACAACAAACTATGAGAGTTTTGAGTTAGTGACAGTTATAGAAAAGTTTGGGGATGAAACTTGTTGGTTTAACCAACAAAAGAGGGGCGAAGAGTAAGAGGGGGCGAAGAGTGAGAGAGAGAGAGGTGATCTAGTGATTCGGCCAAAGGGTGCCTCTCCACCTCCCCCTCTCCTCCTTTTATAGGGGAGGTGGGAAAGAAGATTCTCTTTATGCCCCCTGGTGGGGTTTGTATTTACATAAACGCCACTGGGGCTACAAATGGACCTGGTGCGGTTTGTATTTACAAAAATAACACTAAAGGTCACAAATAGCCCCCAAATATTATTTTGTGAGCCCTAAGCTATATAATTGGGCCCTAAACATGATAGTGGGGGTCCCCAACATATAATGTACCCCCAATAGTAGCCCCACAACTATTCGGTTTTGATTAAAAGTTCAAAACCCAATAACTGAATATAACAAGGTGTGGTCTTAATTACAACTCAGATTCAATACACAATTTTCATCTATACATAGATAGTCTAGGGACTAGCTAGTCTTTGATTGTGCGCCTTGCTCGCACCTCCGTGGCTAGGTCTTCGGCGGCTTGCTCCTCGCAATGTAGTTGAAGAAGGCGAAGCGGCTGACGCAAGCAAAATAGTCGTAGATGACCACGACATGTCTTCAAATCTCCACTCACGGGCGCGAGGCAAAGCTTCTGTCTTCGGGCAGATTGCTTGTCCAATGCTCTCCGCGCCAACCCATCTTGGCTGGCACTCGTGAGAAGTTCTTTCGAAGATGGCAATGGCAATCGCTTCGCTCCAACTTACATAGATGAAATGGCTCCATTTGTTCTGTGCTGAAAGGTGATCCTGCAATGGTAAGCAATCTATCTAGTCCATAAAAAAAAAGAAACAGATGTAGAAACCTCGCCTCTTATACCACATCACCAGTTTACATTGTCTCGCTCTAGCTTACATGACCTGCTGATCCAAATCATAGCACCTCCCAGTTTGTTCTCTAAACAAAAGTGTAAGTAGGTTCCTATGCATGCGTGGGCACATCATTAGGCTGTTACTCTCTATGAGAATTTTGATCTATGCCGTATTTACAGCATCGCATGGATGGATTTTTTCAGTTATCTTCTTTTCTTGGCGCAGTTTCTCCGTAGCGGAGAAGCCACATAGCATATACTCACACAAATTGACAAGCTTGGTCTTGACGGGTATAAATGTATTGCTGTTGGGCGTTCTATTAACTGTCGTTTGGACATCGTTGGTCTTCTACCTTTCATAGATGAACTCAGAAGTGATAGCGAAAAAGCTGTTGATAATCTTATTGATATGGGTCAAAAGCTGTTGATAATCTTATTGATGTCTGAGTGTAATAGTACTCACAGGTGATCTCAGTCATCACCCCCTTCCTCCCATCTAGTTTGATTTTCATATCAACTTTTTTTTTAAAGAACGGCAAAAGCTTTGCCGCATTTTGTATTAGACGATGAAAAGGAAAAAAAAAACTGTACAAAACGATTTACAGATAAAGCAGTCCAAAAAGAAATACCGAAAGTCCTCATGTTTGATAATTGATCAACTCGGCCCCCACGTCGCCCCCATGCAGGCGACACGGGAGGCGAACCCAAACCCTAGCGTCTCTCTTCCTTCCCTCCCTCTCTCCAGCCGCGCCGTCGCCGGAGCGGGCCGCCGGCATGGCCGTGCGGCTTGCCGGGAGGGTGGCGGCGAGGCTCTTCTTCGCGGTGGGAGATGCGACGGTCGAGGACGAGCTCGCGTGCGGCTTCCTGGGGCTCGGCGAGGTCGCTGAGGCTGGGGGCGGCGGCGGCGGTCTCCTCGCGTCGGCGACCGGATCCGCGCGGATCTCCGGCAGGCAGCGCCTGGGCAGGCGCTAGGCGTCGGTGGCGGCGGCTCCTGTCCATGGCATCGCTATTGTCGCCGGATCCATGGGGTCGGGCGCTTTGCACCTAAAGCGCTGTGCGGTGGCGGCTGCGTCGGCTGGGGCGGCCTCTTCTCTTCCTCGCGCTTCGGCGTGTTGGCGGCATGCATCAGAATGGCGGGCGGCGGGCGTGCCCTCACGCGAGCGAGCGCGTGGGGCTTGGCGGGCAACCTGCTGCCGCGGCTGGCGGCGGCGGCGCCGATGCTCGCGGCAGCGGCGGGCGGTGGCGGGACTCCTTTCCTCCTCCGCTTCCCCTTTCCTCCTCGACCTTGGCGTGGGCGGCGGCGCTTCTTTGGGGACACTGGATCTGGCGCCAAGGCCACATCCGGTGCCCCGGGCGGCGGCATCCGTGGTGGGGGCACGCGCCGACGGTGGTCGGGCGGAGGTCGGCGGCGTCGGCGGCGGTGTGTGCTTGGCTTTGGCGACGGTGGCGGCGGGCAACCGGCGTCTTGGCGAGGTGACACACGTGGCGAGGTAAGTCCATTACGCATGTTGCCCGATCGAGGGGGTGGCGGCCGACGGTGTCAGGCGTTCTTTGTGAGCAGCCGGCGCGTTGATGCCCCTCTAGAGAAGCTTCGCGGGATGGATGGCGATGGCGACGGCGGTGGCGATAAAGCTACGGTCCAGCATCTTGGCTCGACGTATGTGCTAAGGGCACCTCGGCGAAAAGCCTTGGCGCGGCGGCGCTTTGTGGGCGCCGTTTTTCCTGTTGGGGCGTCGTGTTCTGTGCCCTGACCATGTCTTCCATGGGTGAAAACCGGTCCTTTCCTAGACAAGCGACGGCGACGCATTCGGCGTCGTACCCTTCCTAAAGGCGTCGCTGTGGAAATTCGTCTCGACCGTGATGTCTCCTTCGGCGGATGTGCTCCGCCTCTCGGCGCCCGGTTGATGCGAGACGGCGAGTTCTGCATCGCGAAGTCGGAGCTGCTGCATCAGGGGATGTAGCTCGGCAACGATGACGCGTGTCGAACCCTCCTTCTCCAACGGCTGGGTTTTCAGCTTTAGAGGCTCGGCAATCGCCGCGGGCGGGGGCGTGGGATCATGGCAGGAAGTCGGAGCTGCTCTTCGCGGGGCTGTTGAGCTCAGCAACGATGACCTGCTGCAGCCTACTACTTCGGCCCGTTGGTCTGACATCTTATGATGGGTTGTCGGTGTTTTGCCATGGGAAGTCGGAGCTGCTAGCTGCTTTACAACTATGTTCGGCAACAATAACTCATGGTAGTGTGTACTCTGTCGCGTTGCGTGGGTGGGTAACTTTTCGTGGTGTTTGGCGCCACGCTTGGCTACATTTTGCTTGTATATAAACTTCATTCGTCTTAATTAAAAGACAGAGCTCCTGCCATTGTTTAAAAAAAAACCGAAGCCCCCCCCCTGGCAATTACAAAGCACTTATGTAGAAGACTTGGGAAACTGGGATCGAATATGTTACATGCCAATTCGATGCGTGAATTGGTGCGCAACAAAAATGAGACTTTCTTGAATATCAATGGGATTTCCAATCTCTTCATAGGTATGCTTCTTGTCTTGAGAGCTATGTCATAGGTGCTGTGTGTGTCTCATGCAGGGATATCTTTTTGTAAATTGTTTGCTTATTACTGAGTTTCTCTTTCACTTTATTATTTCAGAGCGCAATCGTCATGTCATAAACAGTCTCAGAAACAAGTTTGGGCGTCGTTGTGCAATGGTTGGGTATGAATTCTTGGATGGTGAGTCTATCTGTGAAAGCAACATTGGAATTTCAGTCGCTGATGCCACTGATAGCACCAAAAGTGAATCTGATCTTGTTTTGACTGAGCATGGCTTGCTGTCTCTTTCTTCTGCTGTTCAAATCTGTCTTGAAATTTGCCAGATGATGAAAGGATGCATGGTAAGTCGTGCTTGGCCATTAACAATTCCCGTCCCCTGAGATTTCCAGGTTGTGCATGGGGCTAATCTGTTCATCTATTGCAGATTTATGTTGTTTCATCTACTCTCCATACTGTGAGTAGAAATTCAGTTTTCTTTTTTCCACACAGTTTGTTTTAATCTTTTGATACTAATAAATCAGTTTATCTGTTGGAGTTTGCTGACCGTCTTATTTTACTTCTACGGAGAGTGGAGTTATCCTGTTTTGCAGTGCTGGTGATTGCTGCTTCACTACTGTGAGTTTGTAGCTTGGTAATGTTGTTGTAGCCTTAGCTTTTCAACTTCTCAATATGTTATACTCCATTCCAAACTGTAAGTCGTTGTGGCTTTTCTAGTTACATAGCTTTTGCTATGTACCTAGATTACATTATATCTAGATACATA